CTGGTGTTAAATTGCCTACATTTACTCCAAATGTAAGCAGAAGTGAGTTGTTTTAAGGAGTATCAAGAAACTGCTTCACAATGGAAGTTTTAGACTACTTTGCTCTCTTGAGAAAATCGTAGAACCATTTAGTTTGGAAAAGACCTCTAAAATCATGAACTCCAACTGTAAATACAGATGATAGTGGGAGGGTAAAATTTTCACCTCAGTATTGCCCAGTTCACAAGGTAGGTCCCTCTTCAGGTTGCGTAGACAGAATAAAGCAATTGTGTAACACCTCAGTTTTAGCAAGATATTTATTGCTACTGATAAGATAGTGAGTCTGCATGGCTGCATAATAATTTTAAAGACCTTGACGTTATCGCAGTTAACTACGCCAAACGACTAATAGTACATCTCAGCAAAGGCAAATAGCTTGGGAAAAGTTAATGCACTACAGTGTGGTTTATGGCCAGGGCATTTAATACTGGTTGAAAATCAGGGCACTTAATACTGAGTAAAGATCTTTGGTCTTCTTCTGGAAGAAAAGGATCTGGTGATATTGCATATTAGACCTTGTTAGTTGGAGAGGGTGTCTTATTCTAGCACTGTGAACTCACAAAGACATCTTATTATGCTGGTCACATCAGTACAAAGGGACTAAATATTAAAAAAAAAAAACGGATGGAAAAGTACTGTGTTCATCTGGGCTATAGCCATGTGTGTCTTCCCTCCTTTTATTGAAGTTAGGAAAAAGTCAAAAGTGCAGTAAATGTGTGAGTTAAAAGCCATTCTTCTAACCTGAAGTGTTGAAGCTTGTTCATCACCCTTTTCGGACGTGGAACGAAGTCTAGACACAGAAATGGACGATTTGGATGACTCTACTATTTTCAGCTAGTATTGAATGCACAGTGGTACCACCAGGCTTGGTACTGTTAATCAGAGGCAGAGATACAAGATACTCTGGGACAGTACCAATGTTAGACACTGTTCCCAACAGGCTTTCTGAGAAGAACAATATATTCTCATGTCTTGGGATGTCCCCTGAGCAGCCTTTCTGTAAAACAAACAAAACCTGCACTGCGATCCATTAGCATTATACCAGCAAGGTTCTGTCTCAAGTATGTTCGGCTTCTTCTTTTGGTAGTAGTGTTCACTGTTCATGGTTATTTGCATAGAATTGGTGGTGGTGTTTTGTTTTGTTTTTTCCACGTGATAATGTGGATTACTTACTTGTTTTCTCTTTACATCAGAATATGCTGCATCTTCAGCTAAACCACTTGCTTGTAAAAATGGGACAGTGTGAGGAGGTAGAAGGACAGGGCAGGATGACTGAACATGTCATAGCATTTGCAGTCCCCACTGTTACCTTTTATGCTAATCACTTTTATAATCACCTCCGTTGTAGACTTCTAGCTGTGTGAAAATTACTTTGTCTACTTTTTCATCTCCTGTGTTATGTAGAACTTACGTATCTATTTTCTATCTGTTTTACCAGAATTATGCAAATGCTGAGAAACAGAAACATAAAAGAACGGTGGTCCAAACTGAAGTCTGAAACTAAGCCCTGACATATATTCTACCCCAGCCTTCTTACTAGAAACTATATGCTTAATTCTCCTAACAAGTTCTCCTTCAAGATGGTAGAATGTTCTTCTGCCACCTTGCTTTTAAGAAAAACAGTGCTTTTTTAAAAATTTAAAAAAGTGCATTGCAGCTCACAACCTGCTAACGTATGATCTTCTAATCCTGTTTGTTGTACAGAGTTTTCCACCTCGCTCCTTAAAATCCTAGTAAGCTTGAAAAGGGACAGACAGCTTTACTTCTGTTGCTATGGGCACACTGCCACTGTTTCATTTCTCAGTTGTAAGCATAATGTACATCACTGGAGTTAAGAAACTGGCTCCAAAAGCTTCTGAAGATGCTTCTTGCTTTCCTGAACCAATATTCAGTTCACAGATTAACTACTTAAAATATTGCTGTCTTGTAGCTTTTCCTCTCGTTGGGTCTCAAGAAGAAAGTATTAGAGACTAAATTGATAAGGTTGTTTGCTACCTGCTATGTTTTTTTTCCCCTAATGTTAGTGATATATCGTTTTAGGAAATAAACCTTTCTGCAGTTGTGAGACTTTAAATACAACTTATTCTTCTCAAGATTATCAAGCTGCATTACTAAATTTTGTACAAATATCACTTTGATGGAAAGAAACATGCGTGTGGGTGGAAGACATCTCTTCCTTTCCTCCCTCATTGAGAATCTTCTAGAAAGGTGGGCTTTGTTTTGCTTGAGAGTGATTCCAACCAGAAGAATGTGTATTTGTCAGACGTGGTGAATTCTGCACACAGGTTCAACTTACATCATGTTTGATTAATAAGCTGCTTATGTGCATTCTAATATTTGTATCTATTTTATATTGACTAACCCTTGAGTATCATGTCCAACATGGGCAAATGCCATGTGGCAAATTGCGCAACGTCAACGGACTTCAAAGGTTCTTGCAAAACAGGTACACAGGTACTTCTGTGAGCCAGGTTGCTGAAACTAGAGTGTCTGCAAGGTTCCTCAGAACGAAGAGAGGATTCTTCAGATCATTTACTTGGATTGTTATCACTATGCTGTATGTGTATGGCTTTTTTAGATTGTAGTAAGATGTACCGTGTCTTCAACAAGAAATGTTGGATGTTTTGGATCTTAAACCTTGCAGTTCTATTTGCAGGGTTTTTTTGGTTTGTTTTTTACAGGGTTGGGATAGCGAAGTTGTTTATTTGCTTTCTTCCCTAAAGCTCGTCTCCCACTTTCAGACATACATGTAAATGGGCCTTGCTTTCCAAAGAAGTAGTTTGTCAAAGACATAGCATGGTATCCCCTCATAGATTGTGCTGCATAAATGCGGTTGCATATTTAAGCAGCGCTGTAAATGTTTCTACCCTGAAACAGGCTGTAGCTTTTCAATTTAAAACGTAAATGAAACTGGAATGCCTGAAGTCAGAATTGCCTATTTGTGATGGTGGACCTTTTAAACATCACATTTATTGGGTTTTACTTAGAAAGGGAGAAGTACTTTCTCAGTGCATTTCACGTCATCAAGTTGTTGCCTTGATTTCAGATATTATCCCTGCAGTACTGTGCAGTTGTAGCCTCTACATGTTGTACTTGGAGAAAAGAGTGTTCTGTTGCCTCTGGACTTTTGTTCAGTATTTTTTCTTTGAAAAAGCAGAAGATAATTGCGACATAGTAGCGGTGTGCAAGTTTCAAAAAAAAAATACTAGAAGTAGAATAAATGAAAATGGATGGGAATGTACTGTTCTTGTAGACAGAAATACTTCAAAGGTGGTAGCATGGAAAGTCTGTCACAGGCTGCCTATCACCAAATGCAAATAAGTGTGGGAAGCAGTGTCTGCATTGGGCAAGTACCTTTTGATTCTGTTGCTACAAATTATTAGGTTGTATTAACTTCTATTTATTCTTTAAAATGATGATGCTGATGTTTATAGGTCTCTGTCTCTATATAGAGACATTGTGTGTGTATATAGCATTATTTAGTTAAGTTAGAGGGACTGACGATAGAGTGTTTTTCTCTGTTTTTTGCAGTAATCTTGATAGGATCATGGAGTAATTAAGGTCAGAAGGGACATCAGGAGTTCTTTAGTCCAGCATTTTCTTTAAGCTACATCAGCTATGACATCAGGCTAGGTTACTGTTTGGCCTCTAAAACTGCTGAAGAAAGAGACCAGGAAACTTATTTGAGCAACTAGTTCCACCAGTTGCCCCTATTATAAGAATCCACCCAAGATCAGAATCCACCAATGCACCCTATTTATTATAAGAAAAATATTTCCGTACGTTCAGTCAGAACTTCTACTTTTGAAAAGGTTGATGGGCTAAAATAAATTGGAGACCAGTGCAAATCTCTTCTTCATTTCATTACCAGATTTTTCTCCTATTAAATGTGCGTCTCGAGAAGGTGTAGTTACATTCCGTTTTCCGTATTTCCAAGTAACAGATGGCTTCTTCACATTTATATGCCTGTTTTTTCAGTAGACTTTTAACTGTGCTTGTGTAAGACAAAATAGTAACCTAGCAGAACCTTTTGTGAAGAAGAAAAAAAAGCAACAGATAAGCAAAGCCATAGCCAGCTTATAACTTCTTAATTCATAGCAACGAGAAAATCCAACTTTCTTCCAAGCCTTTTAAGTTCTGTGGTCTTAGTCCTTCAAAGGGTAAGTGTCAGGACTCTCAAAAAATACTTTTCTAAATGGAAACATTTGAGAAATATTTTTTTCTTTCAGAATATTCAAACCAACTCACTGTGGTTTCATTTTACAACCATAAAAAAGCATCTGAGTAGAAGCATAAGATCAGTAGACTGTTGTCAACACAGTTTTGGGATATAAAAAAAATAATGGGAAAGATAGTGTCTGTAAGTCCTTACTACTTAGCCAATTGCAAGAAATAACTTTATGTATATATATATGTATATATATTTACATCATATACCTATGGATGTATAGGGAGAGAAAGCGTCAACACCAGGGAACAGAGAACAAAAATGAGGCAAATAACAAAAATATTTTGATATACATTTGTTTTTACCATTTAAAAACTTATTTTAAAAAATGCCATTTAAAAAAAACAAAAAACAAACAACTTAGTGTGGTGTTTCTCTGTAATTTTCTGAAGATTTCACCTGAGTGACATTCACAGGTCACATTTTGAATGTGAATTGTGCTCGTGCACCCTGCACTCACACTGCAGCTGTGCACACTCACAGGAGTTGTGTGACCTGTGATTCTTGGCTTATATTGTTTTCACCAGAGATAATTTTGCAAATACATACGTAGTTGTTATTTTTAACTGAATAGTTGAATAGTTAACGAGAAGAGTATTATGATTTACAGTTTGCCTTCCACAAAACTGCAGTAAATTTTTTTGGAACTTTCAGTTTAAATTAAACCATGTATAGAATTAATCACTTAACTGTGTTTCTCTAAAAAAAAAAAAAAAAAAGTTTTGAAGTAAAAAGTGAAGGTGCTACTTCCCCCCCTCCCCAAATACATGTAGATGAAAGGAATGGGCAAGTTGATAATATTCTCTGCTTTTAATAAGGTGGAAACACTGATCTACACCTGTCCTTATTCCCTGATTAATGTGCTCCATGTGCTAAATGAGAGGCCCACCGCTGGGTCTCTGGTAGCATCAAGAGAGATGGTCTTTAAAGAGGAAAAAAAAAAAAGTTTCATGTAGTTAAGAACCAAATCAGAAATGGTTTAGTCACCCAGGTTCCTGTGTTTCATATCTGGGAAGGGTTAAGGATATTTTTGTTTCAATGCACCATTTGACTTGACTTCGTTTCGTTTAGAAAATAAATGCCAACTCTTAAAATGCTTTAAAACATGGTAACTGATCTAAGTTGTTGAATCTCTGTTCTGTTAAACTGAACCTTGTGGTAAAGTGTGACTGTGGTGTCATGGGCTTTCTTCCTCTGAATTGCTCTACACATATTCAGTCTTCACTGAATTGAGGTGCCCCCCTTGATAATGCAGTGAGCTTTTAACATCTTGATGTTCTTGTCCCCATTCCTTTCAGGAGACAAATGACTCCGTTGAGGTATGCAGCTAGAAAAGGCTCTTCTCGTGGTGTTGGTCTTCTTGTTGCTCATGGATCACACATAAATGCCCAAGATGAAGATGGATGTTCAGTAAGTGATTTACTTCCATGTATTTTAACCAAAGTTTAAAAAACAATGTACAAACAGGAGCCCATAAGCTTGCTTCTAGTGTACCTTCCTCAAAAATGCTCAGTTACACTCCTTTACCACCACCTTGAGATTGTTTTGCACCATCTTTGTCTCCGGATTCTGCCATGTAAGAAGTTACGCAGGTTGTATTATTGATTGAACCTCTATTCTTTTTGGTTTTTTTTGCTTCATATGTAAACTTGATAAAAACAAAACTGTTCTTATGCAGGCATTAATATGGGCAGCACACCATGGACACAAAAATGTCATTTTTAAGTTGCTGGAGCTTGGAGCTGACAAAAATCTACAGACTAAGGATGAGAAGACAGCAGCAGAGCTAGCAAAAATCAATAAGCATTCAGAGGTACTTCATTTCTTTTTGAGATGCAGATTCTGAGGGTTTGGGTTTATTTTGTTTGTTTACTTGTTTGAGATTGCCTCAGAAATTTTCTGTAGAAGTGTTACTTTAATAACTAAACTGTAGCACCTAGTTGCATACATCTCCTGTTCCATCTGTGCTGACTACTTTCTGTTACATCCCAACTTAGGACAGTGCTTTGAGTGCTTTTATGGGTTTGTTTTTGTGTGTGGGTTTTTTTTTTTTTTTAAGTTTGGGGATAATTCCCTTTTTTCTGTAGAAGCCTTGACTTTGAAATACAGATTTGACAAGGGATTATTAATGTCGGTACTGTTGATATGAGAAGTAGTAAAAGAACACGTTTCCTTCTGTATGCCCAAGTGTGTGAGAGAATGTAGATATTAAACTATTTTGCAGTGTGTAGTTTGTGGTTGAATTTGGAAGGTAAAAGGCTAAAGCTAAAAGGGGGAAACGGGGAGTCAGCGGTATGTACTGGCTGCCTTCCAAACCTGTTCCCGCAAGGGAAGACAGTCTAAAACAATATAAATTGGTCATCAGATCATTGGAAGAGCAGCAACTCATTATCAGCGTAAAGAGAGCTGCTGAAAACAGCATATATTTTCCTAAAATAAATCTGCTTACCGCTGTTGCTGGATGATGCAGGACTACATTACATACATTATTTTGCTTTGCATCAGTTCAGTGTTGAGCTTTGATTTTGATTAATTCAGAAATGCTCTTGATAAGCTCTGTGGGCTTAGTCTTAACTCCTCCCTGTAGCTCTTTTAGAGAGAAGAGATGGCAGATGTTTGATGTTCTCCGTGTGTAGTAACTTCTGATAGATCTCTTTGTAGTCTTACTTCTGTGTATTTCTTTACACGTTTTAAGTTAAATACTAATGAATTCATTTTGGCTCTTTCAGATTTATAGTTTACTCTCTTTGGCTGTAAATCCCTCGCAAGGGAAATACCATGAAACGATGAAGCAAGAGGCTAGCTACAAATTTCTGACAGCTGTCCCTGACCACAGAGTTGGGTAAATAAAGTCATAGCATAACTTCAGTTTATAAACGTTCCTGAGAGATTGTATTTGTTCATATCAATGTGATTAAGTTTTCCTGATATGTGTTGCGTATATTTTGGAGCACTACCAAGAGGCCACAGTAAGTATATTAACATACTCTAAATTTTTCAAGACCGCATAGTTCCTTTGCATTATGAACAGTGAGCATGCTCTAGATCTTTCCTGCCTCTGACTTGATGTAAAGTAGAGGCAGAGTCCAGTGCCACTTCACTTTTTTTCAGTTTGATAGTACTGAACGTTTGATAGACTTCATTTGTTAGTAAATTTCAAATGCTTTCACTGAATGCTTGTTTTCAGTGCTAGTCCACCAGGACGAGCCGTGCCCCATTCTTTCTTCCACGTGTATTCAGACACTTGGGTGGCCTTGAGAAAGTCCAAGTGAAGTACACGTGACTCTGAAGCATGCAGGTGTTCTTTGGGTGAACTCAGCACCTGCTTCAGCAGCCTTGAAGATGTCTGACACTGTTTTGTTCCAGAACGTAAAGCTAAGAAGTCCTCAAGAAACCATCCACTTTTCCTCCTTGAGTGACATAGTTTTCAGAAGACAACTTCCAGAGCCCATAGTCTCTGTGCAGTCTGTTCTGGTTGGTCAGGTTGGTTTTCAGCGTCCCTGCTCAGCCATGTCATGCTGAATTTGAAATGCCACAGTTCCGTACCATGGGGCTGGCTGTAGGTCACAAGCTAGCAGTTTGGAGGTAGTGTCAGGGCACCTCGTTTCAGACAGAGCCTCATCAGGTTTGGTCATTAGAGAAACGTTTACCTCAATAAGGTTTTCATCTTCTGGGGCTTCAACTGTGGTCATCTCAGAGGCACTTCGTAGAGCTGCAGGGTGAAGGTTTGGCATTGTAGAGTCAGTTATCTGCACTGTCCTCTTTGTTCTTGCATTTACCAATAAAATAAGGAAGTGACTTAGCACCATGCAGCCGTTATCCGAATTCTGTGCTGTTGAAACTTGATGGCAGCCAGAGGGCATTGAACCAGTGTCTTGGTAATCTTGATAACCTTTTAAAATACGACACTGAAATCCTGTAGCCCACTTAAGAAATAGTTTGTGGCAGCCAGATGTCCGACCATGCAGATCTAGCTCTGTATTACGCAGTTTTGCACTTGTAGGATTTCACTGCATCAGTAGGCTTTTTATAAACTCTACCAGTTTTGTCTGTATCGTTTCTGGTGGTTAGTGTGACTCCTGGTTCCAGAAAGCAGTCCCTCTGAGTCTAATGGCTGTCTGGCTGTTAAGCTGTGTATGTGGGAATGGTTGTTTATTAATTTACACACACACACTCACAAAGAGTGAGTTTTTTTTTTCATCTGATGACGGTCAAGAAGTACGCTGTACCTTTGTTTACTCCATCGTATTTCCTCAAGCTGAGTACCTCCTTCCTGCCGTTTGTCTGCATAATTTTCATCACAGGCGTTGCCAGTTAGCTTCTAAATTTCCGTTTCCTCTCCGATCTGCTCCTTATGCATCATCTTGTGCTGGGTATCAGTTGTGCCCCACAGTGCGTGGTCAGTGAGCATAACCTGGCATCGATGCTGCTGTCATTCGTTTCCGATCATTAGGTAGGGAGGGTAGCTTCAGTCGTTGCCTTCTGCTGTCCTGAACGAGAATTGTCCTGGCTCCAGGTGCCTGTACTGTTCAAGGAGGCAAACACCTGTCAAGAATTTGCTCTCTCAAACTTCAGATTACTCTTCTCTAAAGAGTCGTCATCTTGTTGAGAGGCTTTCAAGTGAACATACAGATGCTGAATAAATGTCCTTTCCTTGTCCTACAAGCCTTGAGTTACCAAAGGACTCCCCAGACCTGTGCCAACTAGATGCTTTGAGTGCCTAAATAAAAAGCAAAGTTGATCACTGCAGGTTGTTCACCTCCTCGCCCCAGTTTGGAGGCAACAGTGGGGGGAGGGATAATAACACAATTCTGCCCAACTTCGTGGTAGGGGCAGTATCTTTAAACTCTGCTAAAACTATTTTAAACGCTTCCTGTGTTTTGTCTGCTGAAATTGACCCTGTATGCCCACAGAATTACCGAGAATTCTCAGTGTGCAAACTTGAAATGTTTTCTTACGTATTCAGAAAAAAAAAAAAAAAAAGTTTTTGTTTTTTTTTAACAAATCTTAACGGTAGGAACTTAATGACTTTGCCTCCTTTTCACATCGAAGGCTAACCTTAATTTCAAGGCCAACAAGAAGACAGAGCAAACTGTCTCTAAATTCAAGATGTTGGTGAAGGATTGCTATCGCACTTGCAGCAGTCCTTTTTGATTTTTGTATCATTTGCTTTTTCGTTTAATTCTGTTCATTACAACTGTTCATCTAATTGTTGAAAGCTGTTTAAACTTTTAAAATGTTTATATCTTTTACTAATGTGGGGAATTCATGATTTATCTTTGTTTATAAATGTTAAACTGTGAACTTACTCTGAGTGACTCTGCTTCATCAGTCTAACTTCTGAACAGTAGCCTTCCGACAATCAAATTTGTTACCAGACTGATTTCTGCTATCTTTAATACAGGCATTCCTGTTTTCTTGATAATGTTTTTTGGTTTAAATGGAGCTGGTTTAAAGGGGTAACAGCTGTGGGCTGAATCCAGTTTGTATGAAGATTAGCTGATAGGAACACACAGTTTATCTTAAACCGCACTTAGAAATTTTTCAGGCTTTTGTGAGCAACTTTAAAATTCATTCGGAACGTTTTGCTACTAAACAGTGACATTCATTTATGAAAGTAGTTTTCTTCAGGCTCAACTCTACTTTCTACCTAATAGACCAGAAGCAAAATTATGAAGTTTTGCTAGGTTAAGCTGTACTCCCTGATGCTTTTGAGAGACTACTGTTATCAGTAGGTACGCGCAGGTTTAGGTCTGACAGTGCTTTGTCTGGGATTTTTTCTGCAATGTATTGTTGAGGATATCTTTTGGCTTTAATTTTCCACTGTTTTCACCTTGAATCTGATTACATTTACAGTTTCTATTCAGCTTTGGATGACATGGAAGTATTTTTACATGGTCCTGGTCTAGAACACCTAATAGGATTATTGAAGGTAAGGTTGTGATTTATCTGCTGTCTGGAAAGGAATTCTTGAAAACAGGTGCACCTTAAGCATCAGCAGAAGTTGTGTTGTTTCTAGAATATTAATTCAAATAAGTGTCTTAATTTCAAGTTACATTTGGAGTATAAAGGTCCGCTGCAGTGGATTAGTTTTGGTTATTAGTCAGTCATAACACATGATGTTTCTAAACTGGAGGACTCCTGTGTTTCGTTGGTAATGGTGTTGTGCAGTTGTTCTTGTATCTGAAAACTGAAGTAAAATGTAAGTGGGGAAAAAGATTAAATCAAGTCAGTATTTTCTTCTGAAATTACTTTTGATGACAGAAAACCCTTTGCCTTATACAGGAAAGAGATGTATATTTAAGGCAACTTCTGATCATGCAAAAAGAAGAGTTAATGCAGGTCAGTTCTGAAAATTTCCTCCTCTTTCTTAAATGGCTTTAGTATCTTTTCCTTATAAGTGTCTAACTTTCTAAGAATTCTTTAAAGGTCTGTTTTCAAAATCTTGTACAGCAACTTGAATTTCTGTATAGAGAGAGATGTTTTCTAAAGTATGTAATCCCACAGACCAGCCTCAAATACTGTGAGTTGAATTCTTGGATATTCTTTGCCTGAGTATGAATTGGAGGCCCCCAGTATTCTTGCTGTAATGATGCAGGAGTTGGGGTGAGCAGGAAATAGTTCAGTTTGGAATTTTAGTTGTTAGCGTTGTTAGTACGTAAGCATGTTTTCCCTGAACGGAAATCAGTGCTAGTATTATCAGCAGCTAATCCTAAATAACCGCTTTAAATGTGGTCCACTTAGTGAGATGGTAGGATCTTTTGTATTGTGGCATCTCATATCCCACACAGACTTGTAAATCCTTAACCAAAAAAAAGAAGATTGGATTTCTTACAGTTTCCTACATCTGGGAAGTTGAGTATTTCACTGTTGTGTAGGAGAAACTGATAAGCAATTGTAAGGTTTCAGTTTGTAGTAGAAATAAGGTGATTGCCTTTTCCTTAGGCTTATTGGAATTCCTGCTCTGGGAAAAACTTCCTCCACCTAAAGGAGGATGCCAGTCATGAAATCCAATCCTAGCAGTCTCCTTAAAACGCTGGAACTAGTTCAGGCTGCACTCTGTGCCTGAGCCAGGGTACTGCAGAGGCCTTCTTAACCAAGCCGCCTGAGGCCTGCTTCACGTATTAGCCACACACATCCTCAGTGTCAACTTTTTTTCCCTACTCTGGTTTGTTGTTTTACCCTGGGACGGTACCAAAACGCGCATGGTCCCGTGGACGCATGTGTTCCAGCAGGCGGAATCGACAGTTCCCTGCAGATGTTGCTGTTCTTTCAGTGCTGGTGTCATAAGGATGTTTTGCATGAAGGTTTATCTTGTAAGTGGGTAGACTTGGTGTTGTCAGTGTTTTGACAGAGCTCAGAAATAGCTGTGTTCTCAGAGGGGGTACCTGTGGGGAGTTCTGTCGATCAAGAGGTTTCTCCGAGAGTTCATGTAGACATAAATATTACAAGGCATGTCAGCAGCTGCGCTTTTCTTGAAGCTTTGGGATTGTCTGCTGGGCAGCATCGCAGCGTGGGCTTCATCTGAATCTGTAAAGCCCCCCCCTTTACAGGAATTCCGCTCTTAAGACATTTTTGTGGTTTTTCTTCTCGTGACTTGTGAGCTGGTTTGCAATCTTGTGATCGCATTAAACTGCAAGCCTGAATATGTGTTCAAATCGATCGCCTGTTTTGATGTTGTGATCATTGTTATTTGTTTTTGTCACGGGGACTTTGGAGGAGGGGGAGAGGGTTATGGACTTCAGTGAATAGCTGAGCCTTATCATTACTGAAGAGACGTAATGTTTTTCATATAAACCGATAACTTCTGTTTCAGTGTTGTAATGTGTTGGGGGCTTCCTATGACAAAGAACTTTTGGGGACACACCAAAATAAATACCTGGATCAGCTGTTCTCGCACAGGAAAACCGTATCTGTAGGAGCAGAACTTCATTGCCTCTTGCCTCAGCAACAGCAGGAAGCAATACCTGGAAAACAAGTCATGCTTTGTGCATGGACATAAATTAATTAGTCTTCAACTCAAGATTATTTTTTTTAATGACATACATGTAATGTTCCTGGCTTCTTACCACTTCATAAGTTACCCTAAATTCTTGATTCTAGTTTTCAAGCTCTAGTAACAGTTTCCCCCCACTCCACTGATAGAAAAAAATCTAATCTGTTTCCTCATACCTCTAGAGTTGAAAGGTTTTAGTGTGATGGCAGATCTTCCACTAACAGCCAGCTCTTTTAAAGAGCCTGGATCTTATTACTGCAAAGATTAATGATGACCTCTGATGGATGCCTCTGAACCATGCTGCTTTTTATCCAAAGAAGCGGAGAAAAAATCCTGTCACTAACACGAGACACTTTCCTCCATCAAACAATATCAGAAAGATATTTTCTCTGTAAATATCTTTATCTGTATTCTACAACAGAGCCTAAGCAATGACTCTTTCAAGCGGAAATCCTTGCATTCCTCCAAGTTATAAACTGTTCCCTACTGAGACAAGTCTGTTCAACATACTGGGACACTGGCTGTTTGGTTCTGTGCTTCTCGTGACACTTAGATATTTGGGGAGGGGGGGCAGTCGGGCACCTTCTTTAAGTATTCATCTCAGAGGACAGTGGCACGAATAATTTTATTTCTTGATGCATTTTGGACTGAGAAGGCTCCGTTCTCACGTCTGTTAGTTTAGAATAAGAGAAACTGGCATGTTCTTCTGGATTTGAGAAAGCATAATAAAAATTTGACACGTCAAGATATATAAGCCAAGGGTTTAACTTCATCATTAGAGAGTTATCTGATCTGCATACTTCCATATCATAGTACCAGGACTCTCCTTACACCTTCCCCCACAAAAAAAAAGCATTTTCTATTTGGCAGAATATTTTGAAGTTGTTTTTTTTTTTTTAAAAAAAAAAAAAAAAGTGACCATTTGGACAATATGGCAAAGATGCAAGACTTAGCATAAAACCTCACGGGTGTTATCTGAGAAGTAAGCCATCTTTTTGTTGAGGTAATGTTATTCACCTCTTCTTTTATTTCTACCTAAAGATTGACAGAAACGTCGTGTTGATGCTGGCATGTGGGTTTTCATGGGTTTTCTGGTTTGCTTTTACTTGAGTGAAGTGCTGTTAGCTGATGTGCCTAAGATTGCATAGTCTGTTCAACAGACACAAGCGAGTCCTGGTGCAACGCTTTTACGTTCTTAAATGTATGGTTACTTCAAAATAATATTTGGCATTAGGTGGACTGCAGAGTACAATTGAACTGACACCAGCTTAAAAGCTTGCTTATCCATAAAGAAGAAGAGGGGCTTTGTATACTTTCATCATCACACGAATGGTCAGATTCTTGGTAAACCCTCCTGTTCAGCATAGATGGGCTGGAAAGGGAAAACATGCCTGCTGTGGGGAAGCAGATTGCACTGGTATATGCGCTTTCTTAAATTCTGCACCTAGGACTTGTAGATTCAGAAAGGACTGTGGTGACGGAGGACTTTATCAATAACGACTTTTATGACACTCCTTACGTAATAAGCCATATCTTCAAGGTGTGGTGGTGCTCAGTCAACTGATGTGCTCACAGAGCAAAGCTGTTTCATTTTCAGGGATACGAATTATATCATAGTCTTGATACACTGATCAGAAAGCAGTGTCCTGACTTGTTTGTTCCAGGAATGAGAAGGTTGCGTCAAAATCAATTCCAATTATCTTAATACTTCCTGCTTCAAGCCAGATATTTTTCATGCTCAAGAATAATTGCCACTCTGACCTTGGAAGAGTTTATCTGATGTGTTAATCATAACTAAAAGTAAATCTGCTGCTCATAAATCAGGTTACTGCTGCTAGATGTCACTTTGCTTTGTAAACATTAAGAAAACATTAGTTCGTACTAGATAGGGCTCCACAAGAAAAAGTTGAGAGCTAATAAATTTACAGCTCAGCATAAAAAGTTTATTTCTAGGAAATCCATTTTTTTCTATCTTAAGGCTGCTAGTGATGTTTACCAAAGAGACTTGAGTGCAATTTGTTCAGGACCGTGTGAAAACCTAATGGAAATTGCTGAAAACTTTAGTTACTGTCTGTTGATCTATAACATCCGTTTGAAATGTCTAAAGAAAACTTGTGATCTCATAGTTCTGCGTGTTATCTGTCACTTCTGAAGACCTGGCGGAGAACTTAAAGGACTGCTTTTATGGAGTCATGATGAACACTGACCATCAGAAACTCTAGGCTAGGGACAGCTCATGGTTCATGTGCGACATGAGTTTCAGACCTCAAGAACATGAGCGAGAACCCCCTAGGTCCCAGCTTTGGAGCCGGTGGCATCCCTGCAGTCTGAAACTGCGGAGTGGCCCATTCCTGCTGAGCCTCGGTACTCAGCTGGAGAATGAGAAATGAAGTCATAGGGACTGTATAAGCCTATGTTGAGCAGCACTTGGGCTTGTAATACCTGGTCTCAATTTGAGCTGAGAAACATATTCTGATTTTCTAAGTATGCTGTCTCTCAGATACATAAAAAGTCTGCTTTTGTAGAGTATTACATGGTAGCCGAGTCCTTAACAGGATCACGTCTTAGATGATTCTGAAATACGTAAGCGTAGCATCCTAACAACGTAGGAGTACTTAACAGCTAACAGTAGTTTCTTTTTTGTAATGAACAGATTTTTCACTGGGTTCTTGCTGTTTTGTTTTCCATCATTAAATAGTTTAAATTTTGTGTTGTTGTCCTTTCAAAGTTACAAACTTTCGAAGTTACAAACGTTGTAGTTGACTGCATTAACTTAAAGGTAACTTGTTTTGACTCAAATAGTACTGAGCTGTTTTATGTGTAATATATATGAAAACTAAATTATAAATACAAAATGATTCTTTAAATTTAGATGGGCGTTACAAATCCTGTAGATCAACAGAAACTCCTAGATGCTATTAAAGAGCTACAAGTGAAAGAAGTAAGAATTGGAGATCTCCCTGAAGTAGTGAAGATGGAATTCAGGTAATATATGTGTATCTCAGGAAAGTAAAGTGAAATACAAACTATTCAAGTAACTGCAGTGTTTTCTTCAGCACAGAGCTAAGATTTTCTCACCTTACCCCATGTATAAGCATTCATGAGAGTTAGTGGATTTTGAGAGATGGTGGTCTGCATTTTGTACAAGGAAAGTTAAAAGCCTAGATTACTGTTGTTAGGACTCTGTTTATGGGTTATATTGCCATCTTATGCCATTGCTTTGGTCACCTCTGAGCGATAAATTCTTTCTCTGTACCCCAGGTAGGGTAACGTGGCCTTGCTGTGCTGGGGTTTCACTAAGTGTGTTTGTATCACACGTGGCTTCTCTGACTCCAGCATTAACTCATTCTTTATTTTTTCTGATCAGCTTCAGTGAGCAGATTTTCATATGTCTTCAAGGAAGTGGCGTCTTGCCTTCTTCCCTTACCCATGCTTCAAGTGCATTTTTGACCCTTGCAGACTCTGATGTGGTCTCTGTAATTCTCCGTTGTATCTGTAAACAAGACAGACTCTCCGGTACTTAAATTTGAGTTTAAAATGCAATAAAAAGATGTACAGAGATAGAAAGAAAACTTCTCTGTAGGGCTTTAGTACCAACTCTACAGTACCTGTTGTACTTCATTCTGGTATACTCGTGTGCAGTCCCATTAAAGCCAGGCCTGAGCTGGGAGAAGCATCCTCCTGCAGCCTTACTAAACTTCATCAGTCCCCTAAGCACTGGTAGAACAGTTCCCATATCTGCCACTGAAAGAAGATTGAAGGCTGTAGTAAGTGTAAAGGTGTCAAGGTTTCTTAAACCTCTTATCCTCTATTTTGCTGTGTAATAGTTTTGCTAAAGGAGACCGAGACTTGAATTTAGGTTCACCCTTCTGGAGATACCTTCTTGTCAGCTAGTGTACTACTAGTTAAGAGGGTAATTCTTGCCTAGTAGGTGCACTGCTCCTCTGTTAGCTGCTTCTTTCTTCTCCACAACACGGGAGCCTTTCCTATTAAGATAAAGGCTTTGCTGCTGAGCTGAGGAAGTAGGCCAGGCATCTGGGTGTCTCAGTGTCCAAGTTCAGCACTTTTATAAAAGGATTTTGATTCTTCGTAAAAGGAGTATTAGCTGCAGTCTGAAAGGACTTTGTCCAGTTCAAGCTTCGTGCATTTTTTTATGTTAAAAATTAATGCTTTTTCAAATTGGCCTGTAGTGAGCAGTGTTTGGTATATGCAGTCAAGCAGTACAGTTTAAAAAAAGCGAGCATAATAAGTGGAGAAATAAAAAAAAAAAGTTACCAATAATTGCATGCAAAGCCATCTAAGGGGGGGAATTATGATATCTATAACATGAGGTACAGTCTCATACACCAGTAACATGGTCATCAAAAAGACTTTTATTTGTACAGTATGCATTTAGAACATACATTGTTCTCAAAAACAGAAAATAATTGTTCGATTAAAGACAAAAAATATGGCAGCACTTGAGTTAAGGCAAGCGCTGCGTGGTTTTATAGAAAATGTCTTGACACGTATTCTAGGCATCTGACCTTGAGACTAAAATCATAGGCTATGTTTACCTGCTGTTACATAAAGATTTTACTTGCCATTTGTTCAAAGTCATTCTGTGAGAAGGAAGATCAGTCATTAAGTCATAGCAAAACTAACATAGTAGAAAATGTGGAACTGATTGATTATAAACTCACAGAGTGTCTAGCACTGTTTAGCCACTGGTGTTTTGACAGCCATGAATTCTTTTTAAAAGCGATTATATTTTGAAAACGTTACTTCCATTTAGAAGTATTTGGAAATGGAAATAACATGTCACTGCGACAGATAGGAATTCCATGAAAATGTTTTTTTAAGATCCATATTGGTATAATAAAGAAGTTTTGCAAATATTTTTCCCTCTTTTCCATGTCCATGAAATACTTAATGTAGGAATTCTGGAGGGATTCTCAAGAAAGATAACTTATTTTGTGACAGAAGGTGCTGCAACTGATCCTAGCTAGCTAAAAAGATACCTTTCTAGGCGGAAAGAAGCAAATACGAAATGAAAACTAATGGAAATAATTCCAGAACAGGTATAAAGCAGTATAATCCTGGTTGGGGATAACACCGAGTGAGAGCTGTGTTCTGCTTTTATTGTCACACTTTTCCTTCTCCCTTCCTGACAGATCATCTTGGTGGAACAAGTCCTAGGTGCAGAATGGTTCCCAAAGAGTTGAGTCTGCAGACTCGCCTGTCCTCCCGTGTAGACACAGCAGTAGATCAGGCCCCAGGCTGCCAGCTCTTTTTAGGAAGCAGTGTTCTGCCAGTAGGCAGCTTAATATTGCTTGTTTGGGAGGGGTGTTGTAGGGAAAACTTGAGAGCTGAATGCAAACGATCTGTGGGCTAAATGCAGCCTCTTCTTAGACACTCTCCCAGATGCAATGAAGTCTTGCGACAGGGAAATGCCAGCTTAATATTGTCTTTTGTTTTGGGCCTGATGTTACTCACCTAAATAGCTTACAGGTAGCTGAAACTGTTCTAGTGGTGACAAAGGCACTTCTCAGAAGTTTGAGAAGTTTCGATGATCTTACCTATTCCTCCCCCCCCCCCCATCCTCTTCTTTTGCCCAGTCAATGGCAGCAACTTTCTGGCTTGCACCATGCCTTGGAACTGACACTTTGGGTTCCTTCTGACACGTAAAGTAAAATGAATCGAGTCACTCTCACATGGGAGATCTAAAATCTTGGCATTGAAATTAGCCTCTTAAATTTCTATATCCTTTCCTTCACTCTTCGGAGACTGATCAAACTGATTTTCAGTGATCTTCCTGTCTTTTGAGCACTAAGTATACTTTTTTCCTCAAAGCAGATAACGTAAGGTATTTTAGTCTTGAAGGAAAGTATTGTCAGATCCAGGTCCCAAGTCAGTAACAGATTCTTCATTTTTTCACTGTGCTGGAGACTAAATGACTCCATGAGAATACTACTATTCCCCCCCCCACACCCCCCCAGTCCTTTTCAAAAATGTCATCTCTGGGTAATGAATATTGATAATTCAGCATGAAGTTGACTAAACTCTCTGCTCCTGGTGTTGGAAGACTGATCTGTATGCCCACGTGAACAGGAAGGCAGTGTTCTGAGGTTATTAGGCATACTCCGGTACAGAATTTCTTAAGTTGATTAAAAACAGGATTGGTGAGAGTGAGGAAATAGAAGTGGAGGTCAACAGAATTGTTTCACAAAAACTTTCGGATGACGCTTTTTCAGTTTTGTGTGCAGCTGAATATTCCAGGTAACTTCAGGATTTGCTACCCTTTCGGGTCGGGGGAACAGACAATCAAAGTGTGTAACTTGCCAAGATGTTAAATGTAGTATTACGTGTTAAACAGGATAGATTTATTTTTTTTAATATAATGAAACTGCATGTCTGATTCATTTACTAGCCAATGCTGGAAATGCACAGATGATTTTAGCTTGCAAAAAGACATACCCTTCTACAAGTAATAGAATATGGTTTTGTTTTGGTAGTGGAAACGAATGCCTCAAGTTCCTTCAGAAGCTGAATAAAGAGTGTAGCAAGCTGAATGTTCCTCTGCAGACCGTAAATAATCATTTCCTCAAAAATTCTCACAAGGTATTCAACTAAAGGGAAAAAATAATTGATTTAGAGTTTGGGGAATAACATTATTCTATGCCGTAAAATGAAAAATTTGAATACTAATCAAATGTCTTGATCATTGTTAGTTTTCTAAAGCTGTCCAATGTTTTTTCTCTAAAGTAAAATTATTCTTAAAATCTTATTTCAAAGAGTTAAGCTGCCCTATTAAAGAACGTAAAGCTGTTACTCAGTGTTTCCCCTGATAGGGAAATTCAGGTGACAGCAGCTTCCCACAAAGGCGGAAAGAGTAGTAGATCAATGTCATGCATAAATCATACAATGAAAACCTAACATTAAAGAAGTTACATTTTTGTTCTGATGCTGCCTTTTATACTACATCAACTAATTAGCATTAAGTTATAATTTGCAGTAATTCTGGCAAATAACTGACTCTCAACAGATAGCACTGCAGTGGGCGCCAACCGAAAGATACATTGAAGTCTGCAGAGACATGGTTTCCAGTGTTGAAAGGTTGGGAGAAGAAGTTGCCAGACTGAAGGACCTCATGGAGAAGGTGAGCGTGAGGCCGTTCCATTGCACACAGAAACCTGGCTGCAGTATCTTGAACGTGACAGCCATCAGTGAAATGTTTTGTACCTTGGTCTATCTCAGCCTCTTCAGTTTGATCACTGCATCCACCACTCGTACGCTTCTTTCCACCTCTCCATAACAGAACGTGACATAATCTAGGATGTTACAGAACAGTGTGCGGAGTCTCCAAATGAAGGAGTGGTCAGTCTTATTCTTTCTGCCACAGTAAGGAACTGAGTGGGAAGTACTCCTGTGCATGTGGACAGCCACTGTGGCATAAACCACTCTGAGTACTTCTTAATTAAGGAATCTTTTGTTTGGAGTTATTGACTCCCAAGGAAGATAGTGCAGTTTTATGGATTGAATTGGAGGCATCCCAGATAACTTTGCAGAGTGACAAAAGAAGAGGGTGGGAGAGGTCAAGGCTAGATGTTAGCACCACATCAGTCCTTCTCAGACCAACACAATGATACGCTCTTGTCAAGTGGGGTCACGTTAAGTAACAGGCCAGTAAAATGAATGGCTGCTCTGGTAGAGTAAATGGAGCATCAGTGTCAGAAAGGAATCTGTTACTGAATGAAGCCATGTGGAACTCGGACCTTAAGTATAATGCTACTAATGCAATTTCCGGGAGTTCAAGTAAATTTAATGTAATATAACAGCTTTCTCCTAATAAATCACTTAGCACCAAATACATTTAAGAGGTCCTAACAAAGAACTTTTTAGCTCTTTATGTTCCTTTGTTTGCATATGCAGAAGTCAACTGCGTGTATAGATCTGCCTCCTGCGTGTGCAGGTCAGTTGCGAGGGGTCGGGAGGACCTGAGTTAGGTGCTACTTGCACTTGCTGTCATCTGAATTTGAGGTTTTATAGCTGCGAAGATGCAGCAGGGTGTCTCTACACCCACTGTTAAACAGGCATTAAACGTTAGCCGTCCGGTTATTTTGAAAAATGTAGTAATTCCTGTTCTACTAAAATACCGTAGTGTGTTATGAACGTGACTGAGGAAGACTAATAGGAAGCATTCTAATATTAAATTTTCAGCTTTCTAGAGCACTGAAACATTTTATTATGAAAAGTGTCAATGTAAATGAACCAGAGAAACCCTTTAGACACTAAGTTAGTACAAATTCCCTTAAAATCTGCACAGTGGTATTTCCTAAGCTTCGGCATCACAAGATTTTGGCTTTCAGTATGCGTGAAGTATATGGCATTCAATTTTTGAAAGTCTAGTAGTAAATGAGGTAGCCTGCCAAGTGTTACATACAAAGGGAGGGAAGCAGGGATTAACCAGTGTTTCACTTCATGACAAGGCTGCACTCAACTTCAGTGGGCATTAGAGCAGGCACTTGTATGGTACTTTCCACTCTCCCTTAGAGCTTTCAAAGACTCCTTGAAATTAATCAGATACGTGTTTAACTGTTGTTTTAATAAACAGTTTTTCTAGTTATTAAATAGCAGAAGTCCTGGTTAAAACATTTGATGATTAGAGTTTAAATGTTTTGGTGTTGATTTTTGTAGTGTCTACTAGTATGTTTTACTCCAGAAGAATTCAGTTTGTAAACAGTTTGTTTTCTAGTGTGTATTGCTTACAGAATCATTGCACATGAGATAAGATAAAGGCTTGCACACAGTGATTTCTGTTGAAGTAGGGCACGGACACACAAATAGTATCTCAGTCCTGAGAATCTAGGCTTATGCTTTATCACAGACTTCAGAAGCTTTCACATTAACTCTTTTTCTTTGTTGTACCTTTTTCACACTAACTTTTTTTCTTTGTTGTACTTTCAACATGAACTGAACACCTGCTTCAGCATGAACAGAAGAATGACCCCAGTCAAGCGGTATTCCCAGAAAAAGCACCCACCTTGGAAAAAAGATTAGTAAAAATGGGAGCAATAACAGTGCTTGCGTTTGTTTTTTTCTTCTTTATAACTAAGTTAATGGCAAAGAAAGAGTGACTTTTTTTAGTGCTTTGAATACTTTTTGGAAAATTTGGTCGCATTATGCTTCTATTCGGCATATGTAACTGAGCTGAATTCATATGAAAATTACTGGTTTCTCATCATATCAGTAATATTTGCATCCAGTACACACTTCAGTCTAGAATCAAAAATAAAATCTCCTTATGTAAAAGCGTATTAAGGTTTTGTTTCTAGTATAGACAGTTTGTACAGAATCTCCTCGAAGTTGCTTTTTTGCCACAAGGTTGTAACTATTACTTACTGATTACTAGTTTTGTTTTCACTTGCTGTTCAGTTGCTGTCATAGCTGCTTCCTGCTGTTCACAAACGTAAACATAAGCAAATAATACTGTATTGTTTATGTTGCATGCTCGTATTTAAAATGATCACGATGGTGGGTTTTGCCTTTTTAATATTAAGTATCATGATTTCTATGTTGAGAAAGATCTTTTGCAGTACAGATTCATATGAAAAACTTTCTGCTAAGGTGTACCTGTTTTGTTGTTTTGTTTTGTAACAGCCACAGGACAGCAAAGACCTTTTTACATACTGTCTGGAAAGTATTTTCCAGCTGAACCGTGCTAATCAATTTATGCCTGAGATCTGTTTCCTCAGGCATAATTACTTCTATTAACAGCTTCATCCCAAAAAGGATTATAAGGATGCTAAAAGGATTGTAGGAATCCTTAGCTACAAGAATGCAGGCACCTTAGAAGGAGTATCAGCATGTTTCTTCTTGATCTGATGAGCTTTCACTACAGCAGCTTTGTGGTGAGTGATTCTCTCTTAAGGTTTTCTCCATTTAAAGAGTTGTTTGTAGTTCTGCAGCAAAATATTAGTATCTGTTTTTCGTCTGATTACCATGCTAGCTATGTTGCAAAAAAAGGAATTGGTGTAAGTCATCCAAATCACAGTTACATCTTTGTGGACTTCAATAAAGACATGTAAAAGTGCTGAAGGTTTGTAAAGGGACATTCTTCTGCTAAATCAGCTGGAGAACCAGTAGTCGCAATGGGGTGTCGTACTTCAGCACTCTTTTTGGAGGTGTGTGCAGTCTTAATCTTGGATGCTCCCTCCAGAGACTAGAAATGAGAAGATAAAAAAAAGACTGATTGCTACTCTGGGCTGTTACTGTTGCTGTCAGTTGTTTTCTGCTTTTTGTTTTAGAAAATTACCTCGAGTGTTAGTATGTTTGCTTGTTATTGCAGTTGTCTTACCTCCTTTCCTCCCAGCTTTCTCATTCAATGCAAGGACCATCCTACAGAGTGATGAAGCTAGAAGCAAATATAACTTTTTTTTTCCATTCTGTTCCCAGCTTTGGATCAGAGAGGGTAAGTCATAATCCCCACCACCACCATCTACCAGCAGAAGTGTAGAAGTGCATAATCATATCAGCATCCTGACTTGAAGCAGCAAAGAAAAGGAAATACTTTAAAAATAGTTCTGTTTCTTTGTATTACCGTGTAATTAGTTCAGAACTAACAAAACACATCACAAAAGGAAAAATCCATGAAAATGGAAAATACAAAAATCTATGAAGTGCAGTTTTAACTGTCACACACAATGTTGTACGAATAGCACTCCTCTGATTACCGCTAAATGCAGTTCAAAAATACTCAGATGCAGTTGTCCAGTGATGAGGTAGCTGGCAAATATTAGTAGAAGCTTGATGCATAACAACATCTTTTTGTTGTGTTTTTGTTTTTTTTTTTCCATTTGGGGGGGGGCTGTTGTTGTTCGTACCTATTGTAAAATACCAACGAGGGGAAATAAAAGTATGATACTTGCTGATAAATGGCTTCTAGTTTGAGAAGTAGAATAGAATATCCTTGGCAGAAATGAGTCAAAGGTTTGAACATTGTACTAAACTAATTTTGTATAGGTAAAGTCGTCAGAAAGGTGATACCTTAAATTCCAAATGTCTTTATTTTACTACTACACTTCCATTTTACTATTTCATTTACTACATTTTACTTCATGTATTGAATTTCTTTACTACTTCATTTACTATATTTTACTATGTATTTCATTTTGCTACTACAATTACTACTATTCCACTACTATTGGTACACTGGGCAAGCTTTTTTTTGTTTCTGTAGACCATGTTATGGATCTAATAAGAGAAACTGAATAAGCAGAGGACTGCTTTTTCCTAGTAATTTGTACAATAAAAGCAAAATGCATTTCTATTTTAAATAATAGTGTCTATTTCATTGTATAGTTGCTTAAATCGACCGCCTCCGTAATGAAGCGGGTAGTGCTTTTCTACAATAAGCTGCTACTTAGGCTGGCCTCCAAAATGCATTTGGGAGAAGCCCATCCTATTATTGTCTTATGAATCACTTATTTCAAGTGTTTATAAAACCACAATTGCAAGAACTTGATTGTGGGCAGCATACAGACTAAATACAGATTTTCCGCCATCAGCATCCTTAGTGTGTTGGAGTGTTCATAAAGGCATAAACCACATGTGAGAAACAAGCATCTTAAACCTGATGTTGGACTCTAAACGTCTCATTTTATTGGTCAGTCATTAATTGTGCTAAGTAAGTAGGATATGATAAAAGCCAAATAAACAAAGGCTATTTTAACCTACCACATCATTTAAAGAAAAAAATAAAAAAATCTTTAGATTCAAAATTCAGGCTTAAACAGTGAACTTCAAGGTCCTGTGTTCACTTTCATGTTGTTTCAGCGCCTTTTTCAAATTCCTTGCTTGAGAAGGTATCACAATATGGTTGTGATAGGGCAGGAAGCCAAGAGATTACTGCAAGATCTGGCCCCTGAGCCACGCAGTCAAAAATTCAAACCCCCCAGCAGCACCTGGTGCGGGAGCCTTCAGATGAAAATCACCCTGCTGAGAGGCCTTCTTCTGTAAGTCACCACATTAAAGTCATTATCCTGGCATAGTAGTAATGCGACGATTAGCACATCTATGAGGGGATGGGAGGAAAATGCTAAAGAGCTGCGCATACATTAAGCAGGTAAGCCTCACAAGCCTGTGAGGTATTATTTTTCCTTTTACAGTAGCGCAGATCGGGGCGCAGGGGGTTGAGTGGCTTGGACCTGGGGCCAAATCCGACAGAGTTGCTTAAAGATGCAGCTAGGTTCCTACTTAGCCTTGCAATATCATGGGATACCTAACTTCTCTTGGTACTGATGAATATTCAGGCAGTGGCCTTTTCTGCATCTTTAGACTGCTGTGTCCAATGTAGGGCCTTGGATGATCCTGTAGAGATCTGAAGGAACCTGAAGGATTTCAGTTCTCACTTGTCCAGGATAAAATACAGGTTGAGAACTGAGAGATTTGGTGTTCCATCTGTCTTCCCGGGATTTGGGTTTTGCCCCACTTTTTAAGTTTACTTGTGGAATACCTGTAGTAAGGCATTGCCTTTGTTTTCCTGTTTGGTTCCATCTGCAAATAGCAGACACTAATTTTGGCCGTGTGCTTTCTTAAACTGGGAAATGGTGGGCCTTTTTTTATTATCACATTCTCTGTTGACTTAGAGAAATGCTGTGTTCATGGCTTTTTGCTGTTTTTGTTTTTGTTTTTTCCCCTCTTCTAACCTTGTCCCAACCCCCTTCTTGGGGCCAAGACTTAAACTTGAGCTATGCAGTTTCTCCTCTTCCTTTCCTGGAGCCTCTTCCAACAAGCTGTAACTTTTGCTAAGAGTTGCAGGTAGGTGTCTACTTAAGCTGGCTTTCTCCAGACTCAGTTCTGGTAATTGTGCAAAAGTTACAGGTGCTCTTACCCAAATAAAGCTGTGCTGCTGGTAAAGTACTACAAATGCTGCTTTGGACCTTACGCGATGGACAATTTTGAGTCTTCAGCCTTGCTAGACAAGTCTCTTGGGAATAAATCCATCTTACGCTGTGTCATGAAAGGGGGACTGAGTGATCCACATCTCATCTGTGTTCACCGTCTGTTCCCTTGTAGCCTGTTCAGGTATTTGTAAGGGAGGTAATGTCTACACAGCCAAAAGCCTTGGAGGTCAAGTAGGTTTCATAGCTGCAGGTTTCTGCTTTTAAAGACAGTTGCTGCCATTTCTGTGTTCTGGAGGCACAGGGGGAAAGGTGTATTTGGAAAACAGTATTTCCTATTCTAGGGATAGGAATTCCCATCTACCAGAGCACTGGATTTTACAGACCAGAAACGACAAGCAGTGAGGTATGAAATCAGGTATCAGTGGCATTAAGTGAATGGTGTGTATCCTGAATAGCTTTAATGACTTAAACTATTTCTTATCCTGATGCAGACAGTGCAGTTTCATGTCATACGGAGCCCAAGTCCCCATAAGTGAGACTCAAAGGGCTCTCGGAAGGATTTTGAGTTCCTCTAAACCGTGATACTGACTGCGATACATATAGGAAGATGCCTTCCGTTTAAGGGTTTGGTTTTGTTTTGGACTAAATATTCTTCCCAGATGAACCTTCCTCTTCACCTGACTGCAGGAACACAGGGTTGACTACGTTATTCTCCCTGTATTGAAAAGCCTCAGCTCAACTTCATGAGGTGTGTGTGGAACGGGTTGGGCTCTCGGTGCTCCTAGCTAGTCTCTTGTCATCTGCATAGCGCATGGCACGGTCTCTTGACAAGAAATCGCATACACGTACTCACTGGAGGCAAACACGGCCCTGGGAGCGTGGTCTCTGGGGCTGCACGCGGAGCATCTTCTGGAGAGGAGGAGAAGGAGGACAGCGTTCATCACTGCTGTGGGCTGCTGCAAGTGAAGGTGCTGCTGTTACTGGGGAAGGTTATCAGGGGGAAACCTGATGGGTCAGCTGCTTGCTGTACACCTGAGGAGGCTGGGGGGGAGCTGTGAGGGCTGTGGCCTCTGCTCAGAAAGGCCTCAGCTCCTGCTGGAGTTGGCTGTCCTCTCCCTGCGCTGTCTTCTCTCCCCTGTGAACTGATCCAAGCTCCATGGCCTGTACTCTTCTGAAACCGAAGCTGGCTTCTGCCTGAAAAGGGGATTATTTTTTTTTCTTTCACATCGACACTATCTTACCAAATAGCTTGAGTGCCCAGCTGTTAGTTTTGGGATCGCCTAGGGTCGGTGACCAGAATGGAGGTTCCTACTGGACAAGCAGTGCTGCTGTAGGACCAGCGATGTGCTGCAGGCTTTGTTCCCCTCTCCCGAAGTCTGCAGCCCAGAGCTTTTCTCCTGCAGGGGCGTGGTTGCTTTGCCTCTGGTTTGGGTTGGGGTTGGTTTTCGGGGCGTTGTTTCCCAAGTTAGATCGAGAAGCAGGTGAACGGCACCGCCTCAGGCATCGCCACAACTCTTACTTCTTGCGTTTTCTTCCTCCAACGCTAGAGGCTGGCGGCTGGCTGCGCGGCTGTCACCTCAGCACCTCCCCAGCTCCAGTGACCCCCCAGTATCCCCCTGTCACCCAGCCTCCCCCCCAGTGTCCACCCACCACCCTGGGACCCCCCCGAATTACCAGCAGGTACTGGGGGGCCACCAAGGTGTTGGGCTCCACAGGGACGCGTCCTGCTACTGGGGGAGGGGAGGGAAGGGGGAGTCACATTGTGGACCCCCCCCATCCCTTTTTAACCCAATTTCCCCTCTTTTCACCCCAATACCTGGCACGGGGGGAGGCCGGCCGGCGGCTCTCTGCAGCAGGAGGGCATCGGAGGGGGTCCCCGTGGTGGGGGGGTCCTTGAGGGGCACCCGCTGGGCTGCAGGGGGGGGCGGGGGCCCCATTCTGCTGGGGAAAAATAAAAGGGGGGAATTGGAAGGGGGTTTGGGGCACCCCAAAAAGGAGGGTTTTTATTTGGGGGGGGGGGGCGGGGGGTACCTTAAGCAGGCCGTACAAGCCGGGGTTCACGTTCTCCTTGTAGGCCATCCTGGGACAGGGGAGCAGAGGTACCCCAAAAGTCTTCCTGTGCCCACCCCCCCAACGTTTTTGCACCCCCTAAATCCCACTCAGGCAGCCCCAGAAGACCCCCCAGACCCCAAATTCTCCCTCTTTCGCTCCCCTTAGACACCAAAATCCCCTCAGTAGACCCCAAAACCACCTCCAGGACCCCCCCCCCCCCCCCCACAGAATCCCCCGAACACCCCCCTCAGTCCCCCCGAACTCCCAAAACAGTCTCCAAGACCTCCCTATAGCCTCAAAACAGCGCCTTAGACCCCGAATTTCCCAAGAATGCCCCAAAACACCCCCCAGGAACCCCTCCCAACCCCCTCCAATACCTATGAAAAAAAAAAAAACTTAAAACCAACAAACAACGCCCTGGAACACCCCCACATCCTCTTCAGGACCCCAAAGCAGGGCACCCCCCACTGCCACGCCATGCCATGCCATGGCATGCCAACGCCTTTCCCCGCCCTTTCACGGTGCCCCCGCCTGCCCCGCAGCGCGTGCCATCAGAGGGGGCCCACGGGGTGTTGCATGCCCCGCGCCACGTGACTGTAATCACACGTCATCACGCTCCGCTCATCACGCACTGCCCGCCGGAGCGGGGCAGGTCAGGATGTACCGCACTGACGATACCCGAGGGCTTGGGAGTGGGGGCCCAGACACTGCGCGACTCTCATTGAAGAAACAGCGACAAGCCAACTTTTTTTTTTTTTCCAACTCAGTACCGATAAAACGAAACTCCCACAACCGGTGGGCGGGCTAAAAACAGGGAAGAAGGATCGCGAAACGGTTAAAACGGAATTGGGGGGGGGGGGGGGGGAGGGAGGGGGCAAAAACAGGCTCCCTCCCCAAAAAAACGTTGACCCCCCAACATTTTTTGCCCCCCCGCTAACAGCATTCCCCTGCGGCCCCGTGCGGGTGAGAGGATGGGGAACACTGGATAGAAAGGGGAGAAAATATATTAGTTTTTTTTAGGGGTGCGGGGGTGGTGCGAAACTTTTTGAATGAGGGATCTCCAGTCTTGGACCCCCCCGCCCCAAGCTTCTTTTCCGATGAGGGGTCTCCAATCTTAGACTCCCCCCCCGTCTTCTTTCACCCACTCTATAAAACCCCGGGAACATGCAAAAAGGGGCTCACATCTCAGCCCTCCGACACGACCAAGCCCATGGTGACGCAGACTGCCCCCATTACACCGCAGCGCTGCGGGAAGAGATACCCCAAGAGCGATTCCCAGGGCCTTGAGAGTGGGGCACCAGGCACTGCGCGACTCTCATTGAAGAAACAGCGACAACCCAACTTTATTCATTTATTTATTTTTTCTTTTCCCCAACTCAGTACCAACAAAACGAAACTCCCACAACCGGTGGCCGGGCTAAAAACGGGGAAAAAGGATCGCGAAACGGTTAAAACGGTGAGAAACCGCCCCCGCGCCGCTCTCCCAGCGTGCACCGCTGCTTCATTTGCATGAAGGCGTGGCTGAGCGGCGAGCTGACCGAGTCGGGGGCGTGGTCTCGGTGCGGTGGGCCTGGCCTCAGGCGCCCTCCGCGTCGGGGGGGGGTGGGTGGGGGCACCACGGGGACCCCCGCTCCCCAAATCACGGCCCCCCCCCCCCCGCTCACAGCTTCCCCCGCGGCCCAGCGCGGCCGGGAGCAGCAGCAGCTCGGTGATGGCAGGGGGGGGCACTGGATGGAAAGGGGAGAAAATGGGGAAAAGGGGGGGTTATTTTTTTTTGGGGGGGGATCCCCAATCTTAGGGCCCCCCCTTCCGGCTTGTTTCACCCACCTGCAGAGCCCCAGGAGCAGCCAGAAGCCCCCCAGGTCCCAGCCGTCCATCAGGGCCAGGCCCAGGGTGATGGAGGCCGCTGCGTGGGCCCCCACCGCTGGGGGGGTCAAGGAGAACAACTCGGATTTTGGGGACCCCCCCGGGGATTTTGGGGACCCCCCTGCCTCATTCCTCACCCCACTTTGGGATGTCCCCCCTAAGTTGGTTTGGGAGCCCATAGGCTGTGGGGTGCCCCCCATATTTAGGGGTCCCCCCCCAATTCTCCCCCCTCCAATGTTTTAGGGTCCCCCCCATTTTGGTATCCCCCCCCCCCCCATTTTTCAAGCCCCCCCGTTTTTTATGCCCGCCCCATATTTTACCCCTCCCCAAACTTCACGTTTCCCCCTTATTGTCCACACCATCTCCCTCATTATTTCCTTCCCCCATTTCTTGAGACCCCCCCATTTTTTGTTCCCCCCCCCCAATTTTTTGCCCCCTCCGGGGTGCAGGATACAGAACAGCCCCTGCCCGCGGTGGAACATGGACACCCCCATAAAGAAACCCCCAAACTCGATGGCCAGCAGCAACGCAGCCAACCCCAGGGCGCACAGCAGCCTGGGGGGGGATGGAGGCCATGTTGTTTTTTTTGGGAGTGGGGGGGAGAGTTTTGGTAAAGTACATGTTTTTTTTTTGGGGTGAGTACAGGGTTTTTGGGGTGGACACAGGGTTTATTCGGGGGGGAGCACAGAGTTTTTGGGGGGGGTTACCTGTTTTTTTTTGGGGGGGGTAAATGAGGTTTTTGAGGGGAAAGTGCTTTCTTTTAGAGGGGTACAGGGGTTTGGGGGAGATATGTTTTTTGTGGGGGTTACAGAGGGGTTTTGGGAGGGGCATGGATTTCTTTGGGGATACATGGGGATTTGGGGGGGCACAGGGTTTGGGGAGAGCATGGAGGTTTTTGGAGACTGTCTTTTTTGGGGGGCATGGGTTTTTTTTGGGGGTGTACATGGGGTTTTGGGGGGGGACACAGAAGGTTTTTGGGGGGTGTCAGAATCCCTTTAGGGGTACTGGGGTCCTCATGGGGAGGAGGGGTCTTTGGGGGGGGGTCAGGGACCACGTGAAGGTGTTGGAGTCTCCATGGAGGTGTTGGGATCCCCATGGGGGGGGGGGCAGGGTTTTTTGGGGGGGGGGGTCAGGCCCCCATTTTGGGGGTCCCGCCCTGACTCACTCGGTGTCGACACGCGCGTGTACTCCTCCACTGAGAACTCGATGGGCAGCGAGGCGCGGACTGTGGGTGTCCTGCGGGCGATTAATTAAAGCTGGATAAAAAACCCATTAATTTTCATGGGGGTGGGGGGGGTACTTATTGGGGTGGGGGGGAGCTGTTTTATTGGGGGGGGGGGGGGTTATCCCTTACCCTCGCCCCGGCAGCCATGCCCAGGGCCACCAGGTGGGCCGTCAGTATCAGGAACCGCGCCGGCACCAGGGCCCCCAGGGGAATCATCAGGGGCCTGGGGGTGGGGGGCACGAGGTGAACATGGGCCCCCCCCAAACCTTAGGGCCCCCCCCTCAACTTTTAGGACCCTCCCCAAATCCGTGGAACCCCCCCAAGCCCCAGGGATCCCCCCCAAACCCTTGGGACCCCCCCCCACATCCTTCCCCCAAGCCCTCCCCAACTCCCCCTCCTGATCTGGGGGGGGGGCACAGGGTGAAAATGGGACCCCCCCCCCCCCCTTCAAACTTGGGACCCTCCCCCCCACATTTTAGGACCACCTCCAACCTTGGGACCCCCCTCAAGGCCCTCCCCAAATCCCCGCTCCCCAGCCTGGGTGGGCGCACAGGGTGTAAACAGGGACCCCCCCTCACCCTTGTGACCCCCCCCCAAAATTTAGGACCCCCCCCTTCCCAACCCCCCCTCCCCCCGTGCCTGAGGGGGTCCCCATCTTCATGCTGTGCCCCCCAACCCCTGTGACCCCCCCTCCCCAAAATTTAGGCGCCACCAACCCCCAATGCCCCCCCACCCCCTTTGGGCCCTTTCTCTCCAGGAATGGGCGGCGCTGGAGCCTGGGCCGCAGCCGCCCTCGAGGAGGGTGAGCGCCCCTGAGCCCCCCCCCCCCAAATCAGGGCCCCCCCCCCCAGAAAATGGGTATCCCCCGTTATTTATCCCCCCCAATAATGGGATCTTCTCCAAGTGGCCCCAAACGAGGGGAGTCCCCCAACAATGCCCCCCCCAGTAATCAGGGACTGTCCCAAAATGGGCACCTCAATATTCAGCCCCCCCCCCAAAATCCCCCCCCAAACCCATGCCCTCCCAATAACGGACCCCCCCCCCCCCCCTTTTACCCCCCCTTATAAGCCCCCATTTTGCCCCCCCCAGCCCAGTTCCAGGACCTGCTGGGTGCTCAGCCCCCCTGTCATCCTCACGGCCAAGGGACCCGGTGAGTGGCCCCCCCCCCGTGATCTCTGACCCCCCCCATGAGCCCCATGACCCCTCGGAGGGACCCTATGTCGAGCAGGGACAGAGACCAATCATGAAGGAGCGGTGGAGACAAAGTGTTACGGACTGACTGTAGTCCCATTCTTCATTCTGCTGTATTGCTTGTGAGGGTAGGATGTCAAAGATGTGTGGGTGTCGTGGTTCCGCTCGAGTGGGCAGCCGAGCTCCACCACAGCCGCTCTCTCACTCCCCCTCCTCAAAGAGGAATGGGGAGAAAATATGTGAAAAGGGCTCAAAGGTTGAGATAAGGACGAGAAAATCATGCAATAATTATTGTAACGGGCAAAACAGACTCGGCATAGGGAGACAGTAAGATTTATTGCTCATTACTAACAAGCGAGAGAAGTGAGAAAACAAAGGAAAGAAACCAAAAGCACCTTCCCCCCCCCATCCACCCTCTTCCACCTCTCCCCCCGAGCGGCGCAGGGGAACGGGGGAAGGGGGGTTAGGGTCAGTCTACAGCACTTCTTCTCTGCCGCTCCTTCTCGGTCACTCTCGTCCCCTGTGCTGTGGGGTCCCACCACGGGATGCAGTCCTTGACGAACTGATCCGGCGTGGGCTTCCCACAGGCAGCAGCTCTTCCAGAGCTGCTCCAGATATGGGTCCGTAGCACGGGGTCCATCCCTCAGGAGCAAAACTGCTCCAACCTGGCTCCCCCACGGCAGCAGCTCCTGCCAGACCCCCTGCTCCTGCGTGGGCTCCTCTCCACGGGCTACAGGTCCGGCCCGGAATCTGCTCCGGCAGGGGTCTTCCACAGGCGGCAGCCTCCATCGGTGCAGGGCCACCTGCTCCACCGTGGGTCTCCTCCACGGGCTGCAGCGTGGAACCCTGCTCCACCGTGGTACTCCATGGGCTGCAGGGGGACATCCTGCTTCACCATGGTCCTCACCACAGGCCGCAGGGGACTTCTGCTCCGGCGCCTGGAGCACCTCTCCCCCTCCTTCTACACTGACCTTGGTGCCGTTCCTCACTCCCTTCACTCTCCCAGCTGTTGTGTATCGCAGCGGTTTTTGGTCCCTGTCTTAAATATGCTCTCACAGAGGCACAAACAAACATCGCTTAGTGGCTCAGATCGGGTCAGCAGTTGGGCCCTACCCAAACACGGGGCAGCTTCTAGATCTTTCTCACAGAAACCACCCCTATGGCCCCCTGCTACCAAAACCTTGCCACGTGAACCCACTACAGTGGGAGGAAGGTGTTTTTAGTTTGTTTTTTAGTTTCTCACTGCTCTAGCTTGTTAGTAATATGTAATAAATTACATTAACCATCCTGTGCTGAGTCTGTTTTACCTTTGACAATAATTGTTGAGTGATCTCTCTGTCCTTACCTCAGGCCTTTAGCCCTTTTCATTGCATTTTATCCCTCTTTCCCTTGGAGGACAATTGAGAGAGTGGTTGTGCTGGAGCTCGGCTGCTCAGCTGAGTAAAATCACCACAGGCACCAAGCTCAATGGAATTCAAGAAGATTTTGGACAATGCTATCAGATATATTGTGTGCCCTTGTGGCCAAGGAGGCCAATGGGATTCTAGCCTGCATCAGAAGGAGTGTGGACAGCAGGTTGAGAGAGGTGTTCTTCCCCCTCTACTCAGTTTTGGTGAGGCCACCCCAGGAATATTGTATGCAGTTCTGGGCTCCCCGGAACAAGAGGGATACAGAACTTCTAGAGAGGTTCCAGTGTAGAGCCATGAAGATGATAAAGGGATTGGAGCATCTGTCTTATGAGGAAAGACTGAGCAAGGTAGGCCTGTTTAGCCTAAAGAGAAGATTGAGAGAGGATCTTACCAAACTCTACAAATACCTGAGGGATGATGTAAAGAGGATGGGCCAAACTCTTCTCAGTGGTGGCCAGTGATACATTTTTGCTTTGCAAGTGAGAGATGCTCTCCTGTGCTGACAGTCTAAAGAATGATTGGCTGCAATCTCCATCTTCATTAGCACTGTACACCTGCAGAAGGATAGCACTGATAAGAACTTGGTGCACCATTCTCATTTTGTATCCATTAAAAAGCAAAGAGTGGCTGTTGAGGCCAGATGGATAGCTGCAATCAAGCAGTAGCTTTTTTTTTTTTTTTTTTTTCCCGAAGGTCCTGCCCTTCCTTTGATGCCACAAGCTGCAAATATATTTGAAAATTTCATTTGAAAAGTCATGGTTTTCTCACGTAAAATAAATGATTCTTATTTATTTCCAAACTTGCTGCTTTGGATTACAGTCGTCTAAGTAAATCTAAATTATCTTGCATGGATCCAAATGCATATGACAGTAGCCTGTCTCATGAAAACTCTTTATGGATTTGTTTTCTTCTACAGATTAAGTCACAGGAAACAGTTGTTTCCTGGTGCTGTAGACACATGTCCTAGAAAACAGACCATTCAATTAATGCCTGAATGCAAGGTATATGTATTGCATGACATATACATGTATATACCACAGGATCACAGAATCACAGAATCATCTAGGTTGGAAGAGACCCTCCAAGATCACTGAGTCCAACCTCTGACCTAACACTAACCAGTCCTCCACTAAACCATATCCCTAAGCTCTACATCTAAACGTCTTTTAAAGACTTCCAGGGATGGTGACTCCACCACCTCCCTCTTCCAAAAGCAAGCATAGTTAGGTCAGCCACTGTTGACTCCACCGTAATGACATGTAGGTAAAAATTTTACTTCTGAATAATAATGAAAATACATATGCATAATCAAGGATTGCATTTTTTTAAAAGGATCTATAGCATCATGGGATATTTTGTAGAATTAAAAATACATTTCCTACTGCAGTGTTGCTCTAAATACCTTTTCTTTTTTTCTTTGTCCTTAGAAATCTAAGTGTATCAATTAAATTCCATTCCACAATATTTGCTCAAAATTTACCCTATCTTTGAAGGAAGATTTTCTAGGGAAGGACTGCTGTTAGACTAAATGATTACACAGGTATCTGAAAAATATTTTGCTGGCTTTAATTTTCCTAAAGATATTAGTGTCATTCCATTACATTTCAACCAATGGGGGCTTTATGGTAGAATATTCACCATAGTTATTAAAAGCATAAAGTACTGAAAGATGGAGCTTTAGCAGAGCAACATTTTTGTGGGGAGTAAATCTTTTACTTTTGAAAAATAAATATTTATTTAATCACATATTACAGACATTTTAACCACAGATTTCTGAACAGCGCATCTGTTCCTATGTCCACAGTGATGCATCATGCGGTGACGTGTCCCACCTATTTACGTCAAGTAGGCCATGTTACATCAGTAGGATGTGATGCTAAAAAGAATAGGGAATTCTTAAAACAGATGCAAACTATAATATATACAAAAATGGGTATTTGCATGTTTGCCTATGTATGCCAAAAAGAAATGGATGCCTTCACATTAAAAAGAAAGGATGCAGTTCTGATGTCAGTTTTGGCCAGTTAAGCTCAGGATGTGGACTCACGAAAAAAATGTGTGCATGGGGTATGAATTCAGGGCGGCTCACCTTATTTTTTTAATGGAAGTACGACAAGTAAAATATCAAAATATGGAAGTGTATCAATGTCTCCCTGGTCATCTTTAAAATTATTGTCCCATTCCATACCTGATTCTGATATCCAAATCCTTCTAGCTTTCCAAAGGCATGGCAGTTTCTGAGATGTATTTACATGTCATCTGCTGTTACTTGATTCCCATTGGAGATATTGAAATTTTAAGTTTGGAATTCCTGATTTATTGGAATGTTTCTACAACATTTCTAGATCAAAACCAAATAACTTGACCTAAAAATATCACATTCTTTTGAATGCGATATCACATTCATTCTGTTCAAAATGGAAAAGCACAAAACGAATTATTTTTAACTCATAATTAAAAGTGAGTAATCAAGAAAAGAGAAAAAGCATTATAGCATCTTAAAAAATCAGCACTCATTATTTTGTACATATTCCTTTTAAATACCATTTTGAAATGATGCCATATCAGATAGACAAGGCAGAAGTAATCCTGTCATTAGCAGAAATTAATTTACCCATCTTTAAAATTCAGAGAATATGTAAAGCTCTGTTACATATGGTCATACATGGAAGAAATCAATATAGATATATA